TACTGACATTTTGGACTAGAAAATTCTTACTGTGGGGCCCATCTTGTGCATCAGAAGAGATCTGGCAGCACTAAACCCACTGCTCACTAGATGCCAATCACAGTTCCTTCAGTATGACAACCAAAAGTATGTCTAGACATTGCCAAGCAAAATTCTCAATGGAAAAATCAAGAAAAGTACTCAAACATGTGGCATATAGATAGGTCTTGAAGGAAGAGCAGGAAGGATTCTAACAGGCTAAAATAGGAGGTTAAGGCCTTAGGGGAAAAAGAAGGAGAATATTGAAAATTATTCATGGGAAGGCATGTTAACAGCTTTGGACTTCAAAGATTTTGAACACTATTTAATTCATTTCTAAGATCCTTTCATTTGACCTTATTTTTGAGGAAGGGAAATGACGTTGTGATAACAACAGACTCTCTTGACCCCTGTTTTCTTACTTTTACATCTAATCTTCTTTTCCCATAATCTCAACCAGAGATTGTGGAGGGAGAAATGCTTGTGACTATTCCAGCATGTGAGCCTAAACCCTTCTTTTTGGTTAAAAGCTAATAGATAGAAACATGCAGTTCACTAGTACAGCATTGCTAATTTTATTACTTCCACACTTATAACTTGTGCCAATGTAAATAAACACAATTTTAAAATTGTCTCTTTAGAAAACTTAATATATTGTTTTAAGAAATAAGCAGAAACATACGGTATATTCAAGTTTCTACTTTTGAATTTTGGGGGAAAAATGATCACCTGCGTTTTAATGATATGGAAACTAGCAACGTAACATATACCAAGAAGAGCAAGGAAGTCATCCACAGTGTTCTCTGTTTAGGATATTGGTTCTTAGCCTTTGAGGGCTTATGTTTCCATTGAATATAGTTGATAAGGGTAGAGTTTTTACCCCCCCCATACCATACATATTTATAAAATTTTGAATAAAACTTCAGGATATTCCTGGTCTTCTGAAACCTATCTATAGCCTTTCTAGGCAAACATGATCCTGAGGTTACAAAACCCTGACCAAAAATTTACAGGATACAAAACTTAGAACATTGCCCAAAGACCCAAGAATCACCAGAAATGCCTAAAATAAAATAAGATAGAGTTTTGAAACTGAAGTCCCTGGGTTTTTTTATAAATATTTGGAATCATTTTAACTAATACTTGACATGTAGTCAAGTATTAGTTAGTAGTTTCTGCTAAAGTTCTAAAAGTTTAAATGAACTTTTATTTGATAGAAGAGTAGTATACATGTGATACAAAAATTAAGATTCCAAATCGAAAATTGAAAAGATTTTAGAGGTTATTCTAAGCCATTTAAACTTCGGCCAGGAATTTAACTTCTTTGAGGTTCAGTTGTTTGTTTTTTGATAATAAAGTTTTGAACTATATTTTCTCTAAGTCACTCAATATGTTCTAAAATCCTGTAATTTAAATGAGTTCATGTAAATCTAAAAAAATTATTTTTCTAATAAATAATTTCTTCTAGAAATGAGAATAAGCACAATTCCTCCCAGAGTAACATATTTTCAGGAAGTAATTCAAAGCTAGATGTGGTTGAATTGCTAAATGGCTGAATTTGCAAAAGTGGGCGATAATTAAGTCGTTACGCTCAATCCTTATTAAATATTAATGAATTCTCCATGACTTTGAATCAGAAGGGCTTTCTACATGAAAGGTTCTGACTGGGCTGCTCACAAATAATGAATCATCTCCCACTCTGAGGTGGTCTTTTGCAGCTCCAAGGTACTCACAGGCAGTACCACAGAATTTAACTGTGGTTGACTGTGTTGTACTTGGCTTTGAAATAAAAAAAAGGAACTTGCAATATTAATATCACCATGCTTTAGCCTGCAAGGGCAAAAGATTTTTCTCTGAGGAAAAGAGCTTGACATAAAAAAATAATGCACTCAGCCAAGGCTCCAATCATCTGAATGCACTCACCATTTCTGTGGCTTTAAATCTGGCTGCACACACCCCAGGACCAAGGACCAGAAGTGCATCTGGGTAGCAGAAGCTGGTCAGTGTGGCCTCCTCCACTCCCTTTTGTTGTTTGTTTTTGTAACACATGTTAGGCACCAAAGAGACAAACAAGGATAAAATGGCTTTCTCCTTTCCCATCTGGGTGTCTGCCAGAGATACAAAGCCCAACTAAAGCATCAGATTTCAGTTTCAAGGCTCCGACTGAGACGAAGCCCACTTTCTTGTTCTCTATCCCTCACCCTTCTTAGAAAATATTTTTCCACCAAGTGCAAAGCAATGTAGTCCAATAAACTGCAGGGTTATTGCTACATACCCCTTTCCCAATTGCTAGTCATTAATACCGCATTTGTGAAACAATAACTTTGTCTTAGGTCATAGGAATGTAGTTTGATATAAGAGCTATATAGTCATGGCATTTTGAACTCTTAACACTGAAAAATACAGATAGTATTTGGCATACCATTTGTTTTGTTCCATGAGTTAATTGAAAGTCCCGTTGTTTAGATTATAGAATACATTTCTCATGGAAATAACTTTAAAAATGGTGAAGGAAGGAGGGAAAGATGGAAGGGAGAGAGGGAGAGAGGAAGAGAAAAAGAGAGCGAAAGAGAGAGACCTATAATACTTAATATCTCACAGTCTTTTGCATGCAAATATTTTTGCCCATCCCATATTGGAGACAAAATCCCATAAGACTGGGCAGTAGGTGGAAGGCAAGACCTGTCTCTTTCAGATGTGTAAACAATGGCTGAAAAGATGAAGATGGCACCTGTTCCAGGGAGGATGCAGCATTTTCTGTGACAGCTCTGCCGCAGCCCCCACATGGAGACAGCACAGGCTCCACAAGCTGAGGACAGTGTGGTCATACCAGCTGTCCACCTTTCTAGAGCAGTTGTAAACTGGGTGTCTTAAATAGTCAATGATTTCCCAAGAATGATTCAATTTTGCTGGATAAAGAGTTTTGATATAAAATTATGTTTGGCACTTTGGAGATTGATTAATATTTTCAATTGGGTTAGTGAGCATTTTTCTATATTTTTAGAACAGTGATTTATTTTATTTGAATTTTAATCTTAAAATGTTCAACTATTCAGTAAAGTAGAATAGCAGAATGAATTTATCCACCCCAGTGAATTTATCCACCTTGAGCATTGCAATACAATATTCAGGATTTTGATTCATTTACATCAGCTACCCTTTTTACTTTTTCATTTTCAAAATATTTTGTATTAGAATCTAGTTCTACTCTCATCTAATTCCAACTATTTTTTCCCAATACCACTGACTTATTTCCAAGTTCACATTAGTGTTGATTGTCAGTGGCTATATATTTTCCTTAAACATCCAAAAATGCATTTTTTTTTATATCTGATATCTCCTCAGATGAAAGTTACTGCCAGAGATGAGTCATTTCTTGAAATATCATAACAATGCACTAATTTTGTCACTGGTAGTTTCTTTCTCTCTCTTATTTATTTATTTATTTATTTCGAGAGATGTTTGCTATAGGGAGTATGTGCTTGCTGGAGAAACAGACAGACAGAAAGCAAGAAATTACTCCCCCAGGGGGATGGCCATGCCACAACCCCTACCCCTCCATTCTCCTCTTGGTATTTTGGGCACACACACACATGAGCCTGGTGTGAGTTTTAAGCTGCTGGGTCAAGCTGGGACTCAAACTCCAGTTGACTCTTTGGGAGTCCAGCAATGTAATCAGTACACCATCCTTTGGCTCATCACTGGTAGTTTCTAACAAATCTGTTTAGGTTGTGATTTCATCAAAGTGAAATACTTTGTTATCTGCCATGGTTTATAGAAGAATAAATAATGTAACTGAAATGAAAAGTTTTCTATGATTCATATAACAAAAAGAAAAGAATGTCTTCCCCATGGCCTGCTGTACTTTTTTTTTTTTTTTGACACCTACCTGGTCCAACCTGTGGCCTGCTGTACTTTTTTTTTTTTTTTTTTTGACACCTACCTGGTCCTTATTGTCCCTATAATTTGTAGACTTGGGAATATGAGATTGTTACTGATAAATGTTGAGATAATTAGGATATAGATTTTGAACTGACTTTAAAAGCAACAAGAGTCTTCTTCACATATTAGACCTTTAATTGTGCATCTAAGTTGGAACAATAGATGATGTGTCTACAGTTAAAAGAGCATTTAGAATTCTACTGGAAAAAGTAAGATTACCCTAATATAATAGATAACCACAGTGATAGTAAGTTCTTGCTATATAACACATTACAAGGTGAACACAACTCTGGAAAACATACATAACAGTGTTTTCCCTCCCTTAGTTATGCTTTGCCAATATAAATCATCAGAGCCATAGTTAAAAGGCAAAAACCATAAAACAACAAAACAACATGAAATCTGAGAGAAGTGTGCCCTGGCCATAATGATATGTAAGTAGAGTGACATTTATCATCCTTAGAACAACATGATCATGTAGAAGATACCATTATTTCTCTATTTCATTTGAAAGATGAAGAAACTGAATTATAAAAAGCTTACATTATTTCCTCAAGAGACAGTTTTGTACTTTTTTTTTTTTTCAGTTTTCACTTTAGGGCGGGAGAACTCACCAGAGAGAGACTAGGGAGAGAGAAAGTGAGAAACCCTCTCCCAGGGGGATGACCACGCCACAGTCCCTTCTCTGTCTCCTCTGAGGATTTTAGGCACATACACACATGGGCCCAGCATGATTTCCAAATACCACATCTAGGACTTGACCCATGTAACCAGATATGTGGGGTCCAGCACCTTAACCTCCATGCCACCTGCTGGTCCAAGGCTGTTTGTTTCTTAACTATACTATCATATTGTTTCTCAGAATAGAGTTGAGATTATTATCTTTATGTGAGCTCCAGGTGGTAGGGAGACTTCTCACACTCTGATGCCAACCTTGAAACTTAGTATATATCTCTTAACTCATTTTGTTTTTTAAACTATTGATAGATCACATACACTTTAATAACTATGCATATAAATATTTACTTTGTTCACAACAGCTCATCAATAATCTTGGTCCATTGGAACTGATTCTTAATACTCCTAGCCACCATAGAGTTCATCATGGTAAGAAAGTTGTATTTCTTCTTTTTTATTTCTTCTTCATTTCTTTAAAAATTATATGATTATTTACTTCATTTTATCACAATTACTCAATATAGTTAGCACTTATTGTAATGGGAAGTATAGGGTTTTCTTTTGACCCTGGATAAACCACATCTCTAAATCAGGATTAGGTGAGAGTGTGGTGAATGGGAGAGACTGCTCTCTGTATGGCTTTTTAATCTAGATCACAACTCATTTGTAATGAAAAAATAAATAACCAGCTAAGGAGATATACCATTCATATCTTGAAAAAGTGTTGAAAGCTACTTCTTGACCCAGTGCTGAGTGTCATTCCTATCTATAACCAGAGAGGCCTTGGTCTTGAAAGCTTTTAAGATCTGAGGAGAACCTAATAAACAATACTTCCCTTTGCTGCCTAAATTTTATGAACAAACTCAACATAAGCTGTACTCGTTAGACAAGAGAAAATCCCATATGGCCAGTGTGTAAGGTTTAAAGACATGGATGTCTTCAATAATAACAGAAATGTTTACATTTGTGCACTGTAAGAACTATATAAGAATGTGTATGGTGGTATTATTTATGATAGAAAAAAATAATTCAAACATCTGTCAGTTGTAGAATAAATAGCAGACTATTCACGTAATGAGGAATTATATAACAACGAAAATGTCCAAACCATTGCAATGGCATGAATAAGTCTCACAAATATAAAGTGAGAGAAAATGCCAGAAATAAAAAATAAGTAAATAAATCCCATTGTACTGTTTTCATAAACTTCCAGGCCTCACAGGCAACTCTGCAGCCCTGCCTTCCCAAAAGGGGAAGGTCCCTTTCCCCATGGCAGCAAGAGATCTGAAGCTCAGTCTCCCACAGGAAGCACAGAGGAAGGGTCAGGCTGCACATGCTCAGTTTCTTCTTCCAAACTCAACAGCCGTTCTCCCACCCACACCCACCCTGGGGAAATGGACAGGGTGAGAAGCCAAGGTTATGCTCTTGCTGTTTCCTCTACATAAAAGGAAAATTAAGAAGTGGAGAAGAAACAAGTCCACATTAAAAAAAAAAAAAAATAGATCCTTATTTTCTGTTTGACTTTGCTTTCTCATTCCTATTGCTTTGATCAGGGTTTCCAACTAGACACTGCTGACATTGTAGGACCATTATTTCTTTGTTGTGGGGCTATTCTGTGCATTGTAGGAGGTTTAGCAGCATCATTGGCCTGTGTACACTAAAAGTCATTAATACCCCATCTCAGTTATAACTACCAGTGATGTCTCCAGACGCTGTCCTTTTTCTCTTGGGAAAAATGCCTCGAGCATTTTCAGTTGGCTAGGGATCAACCAAGAACCATTGTTTAGACCATGTGTGGCAGTGGGTGTGCATCTGTGCAGCCAACTTCACTCTACTTTTGCACTGAGATGTTTTTTCCTTGTGTCTATGATTTCAAATGTGTATTTGTAATTATGGAAGCCACCTAAAGCCCCATGGGTGGTGCTTTCTTATTTTCTTTCCCTCCTATCCCCACCGACTACACACATGCTCTCTGGCAAAATTAAAAACAAAAGTAAAGCAAGAAAAGCTAGTAAGTTATAAAATAAAGAGAACACATCAGTATGCTCAAACTAGGATACATCCCTTCAAATGACGATACGTGAAGATAATTGAGATTGGTGGAGTAATGACTTGCTGGTTTAAATTAATTTATTTAGCTTTACAATCACATAAATATGATTGTGTCTTTTTAAGTTTTTAAAAATATATGTAAAAGCAATCTCTATTTACAACACATTTGTATTGTACTTTGAATACTTTGGAGCAGGAAAGATATCATATATGCTATGAGTTAAAAAAATTAGTCGGAAGTAATTTAACTTTCACTATGTCTTTTGTGATTACAAGAAAAACTCACTCAAGCCTCTCCCTAAGTTGAGAATTTTATTCCTGGAACAAATGTAGATAAAAAGCATAGACACATATCTCACCAAAAATTAAAAATTAAAACACACATACAAGGGCCAGCAGGTGGTATGGTGGTTAAGACTCTGAACTCACATGGTTGACCATAGTCTGAGTCCCAGACCTAGAGGCTTGAAAGCATACAAGACCAAAATCCCAAGAGGAGAGTGGAGAAGGGACTGCAGCATGGCCATATCCTGTAGGGGGTGATTTCTCTTTTTCCTCTCTCTCTTTCTGTCTCTCTCTGGCGAGCACACATGCCCTATGGCAAACACCTAAACAAACAAAAACATATACATACATGTATTATCGCTTTATCATATTTCCTGTTTACATTTTTAAATAGTATAATTTTATTGTTATTCTTTAATAGTACTGAAAAGTGATTACTTAAATTTATCATCTTTTTTTTACTTACATTTATCATCTTTTTTTTAGTGAAAATGGTGAGGAAAACCCACAAATACAGTTTTAAGTAAACCTTTGTGCTTTTTTTTTTAGTAAAATTAATTTAAAAAGTAAATAAAACAAAAACTCTATTATTAGCAAATAAAGGCTGTTGTTCTCAGTGAGAAGAAATTCCCAAGAAAATAATTCTGTCATTTAAGTCATAATTTTATGAATGTGTTCTGAAAACAAGACAATGTATTTTACAAAAGCTTAATTTCAGTCTTTAAAAAATATTCTTAATATTTTGTTTCATAGGGAGAAACCGTTACTGCATAGACAAAAATTATGCTGGCACTCTTATTATTTGGGATAAAATTTTTGGTAAGTAAAAAGTAAGAAAATAAAAACAAATAAATTAGTTCTTTTCATTGCAGATAGTCAAAGATTATATCCTTAATGTTTATGTTTCAGGGACCTTCGAAGCAGAGAATGAAAAAGTTGTGTATGGTCTAACACATCCTATTAATACATTTGAACCAATTAAGGTGCAGGTAAGTAATGTAATTAGTTTAATTTTTTTCAAAATTTATATCATCTCATAAGTCTTATGGTTTGGAGAAAAGTCAGTTGTTGAAAGGTGTGAGTACATTATTGTACCCTGGGGGGGGGAAATATTTTTGAACTGTAAAATAATTTGAAAATGACTTTAGTACCCAAGCAAAAGCGTGAATCAAATTGGACAATAAACATTTGAAAAACAACACATTGAAAAATGTTCCAATAGGTCTACATCCTAGAATGAAAGTAAAAAAGAGTGGCTCTTTAGCAAACATTCTTTCTCAGAATAAACCTGGAATATATTTGTATGTTCAGAAGGAACAGTAGTAACGTGTATAATTAAGGCTGATCCCACAGTAAGAAAAATATTTGCTTCAAGGCTGCGTGACTCTGGTTAGAAATTCAGCATGAGGCCTTTGAACTCCTCTGGTTGGATCTATGTGTCAGGAGCTATTACAGACTGGTTAGGTTTGCACATTACCTCACCTGCTAAGACTTGTTGGACGGGACCAGTTTTCTGTAAGACATGTGGTATTGGTTGTTCACTGGGCTCAGTGGTTGGCACTAGAGAAATGAAGAATGTGAAGCTCTGATGCATCAGCTTGAGACCACCACAAATGCTCCTGGGATTAGGGAACTTTAAATGAGAAAAAGATAAGAATGCTTGAAAAATTGAAGAGGTCAGTTAATGAAAGCCCTGTACAAGGGACTGGTTACAACATTCAGTAAGTGATGAAATTACAGGATTATGTTGAGTCTGCTTTGCATACCAACATTTTCAAGTTTTCACAGAAAATTCAACAATAAAATAAATAATTAACAGCTGTGTGCAGGATGCTGCTAAGTGGCCAGCCCCAAATACTTAGTGTAACCATTTCTAAACCATTTCTAAAACCTTGTGAGATAGTGGCTCTTTTGCTCTGCTTTTTCTTGCTTTCTTTTCTTTCTTTTTTTTTTTTTTCTAAGGTTCTTGCCATAAGACACATGTGCTTGCTGGAGAGGGAGATAAAGAGACAGCAAGAGGGAAAGTGAGAAATCATTCCTTGGTGGTGTGGAGAGGGTGGCTACACCGCAATCCCTTCTTCTCCATTCTCCTCTCAGGATGTTGGGCATGATGCATACACACTGGCCCAGTGTGATTTTCAAACTTCCGGGTTCCCAAGACTCAAACGACAACTGGCTGTGTGGGAGTTCAGAATATTAACCACTACACCTGCTGGTTCCCCCCATTTTATTCCCATTTTTCTGGTGGAAGAAACTGAGGTTTCCAGGATTAAAATAATTCATCCAAGGTCACACAGCTTGTCAGCTTCAAAAGTCGCCAAGGTGAATTGCAGACCTAGTGCAAGACTCCACTCAATTTAACATTTATGCTCTGCTCCGTTATACATGAAGGTCATCACAAATTGCTGTCACTTTTTTTTTTCTTTTTTCTTTTTAGATGAACCAATTGTAACAAATTTTTATTTTTTTTTACACAGAAAACACTAGAAAAACTTCGAGCCCAAAACAAAAATACATGCTGATTTTCCGTGTTTTTTTTTTAAATGTATATAAGCAAAATTATTTAAGAGTCAATAAATTCTTATTTAAGGGATATCTGAATTTCCTTCCACTGCTCACCAAGGACACCACACCTTCATTCCTCCAAGGCCCAAGTCAAGATAGTCCTTTTTAAAAGAACTGGTACTTAATTCCTAGTTGTCCTGTCAGCCCTACCACAATTTTTTCATGTCTTTCTTTTTCTCCATTAGAACTATGGACATATTGGTAACTTCAAAGTCTGTCCACCCAGGAATATTGGGATCCAATTTCTTTAATTAATTGACTCTGAGCCACTTTTAGCATGGCTACATCTGCCTGGTTTTCAAAATGACACCCTCTACACCGGAAATCAGTTCAGACTTGTTCCTCAACATCTGTGGGATGTGGTAATACCTTTAATTCCAGACATTTTCAAGATAAAAGCCTTCTTTTCCATTCATGTTCCTCTCTTTCCAGGCCATTCAGTATTCTGCCCAGTGTTTCTGGCCTTTGAAGCTCTCTTTTTAGACAAAGCAGGTTCTTTAGTATTCTCTTGCCCTAAATATACATCCATCTTCTTAGAAACTGGGAATTCAGAACTTATTATAAAACAACTATCCTCTACCAACTTGATATCGCATTCATCATCAGGCTCAAGATTCATTGCTTCATCTGTTACTGGCTCTTCAATAGGAGAAATGGATCCATCATCATCCAAGTATTTGTATCTACAACTATCGAGATCTTCTTTTTCTAAATCTTCACCAACATTCATTTTATTCAAGGATTCCTTAAGGTGGTGTTCATATTTCAGCTTTTCAATGTAGTTAAAAAATCTTCTGGCAACATGTTGCTCAAAAGTTAAAATTTTCCTCCATGGTAATAGGTTTCTTCTGTTCTCTGATTCTGTAAATTTATGGCCTTTGCCTCTAACTTGTTTCTTGTCTATCTGTGACCGTCTAGTATTTTTACTTCCTTTTGGTCTTCCTGTTGGCTTGTATTTTCTTTTCTTCCGATTCCTTTTCTTGAATCTTTCAAAAATAGCTTTTAAAGTCAATGGTTTGGGTTCAAAGGATGAGTAGCTTGATGAATCTTCTTTAATGTTCTTAGGTGAATAAACACATTTTTGAATTTGGTTCCTTTGCCTCCGTGTAGGTGAGGAAGGAACACACTGTGTTTTAAATAAGCTGCTACCAGACCAGGAGCTATCACTTCGATTTTCAGATTCTACAGTTGAATCAGACGTTGTGTAGTCAGGCGAATCCATTCCTGATATAGTCTTCAAATTTATGCACCACTTTCTCTCTTTGCTTTAGTTTCCTCCACAGCTGCGCGGAAGGAAAAAGGCAATTGCTGTCACTTTTTAAATGAAAGACATTTTGATCTCTTCATACACCAAAAGAGGAAAGTTAATTATCTTTCTTCCTTGTTCCTCCACTACATGGAAGTTCCTTCTCTGTCTTGATCATGGTTTAGGCTTTATAAAACCATATGTCTCTTTGGAGAAAACTAACACATATTTGCATACTTTCTCAACAATAGGCTTTATAGAATGGGATCCAATTTATAAATCATATTAACTCATCAAAAGATACATTTTTTTTTTTCTCTTCATGTCTCCCTAATGTGGAAACTAAGAAATAGGCAGGTTGGTCTCTATGTTCTGGATTAGAGCTTTTCAAATGTAAAGAGCATATGAATCACAGAAGGTCTCTCTAACATGTAGATTTGGTTCAGTAGGTCTGAGGTCTGGTCCCAGATTCCATTTCTAACAAGGTGATGCCAGTGCTGCTGCTTTGTGGAGTAGCAAGGCTTTGACCGTGAACTCTCTTGATGAGGGAAAAGTAATTCATATGTGAGACAGAATAAGGGAGTGAATATTGTGTCTAATGAGTGCTGCCCAAATGGTAGGATAAGTAGGATGTAGAGGGCACAATAGTCAAATAATCCTTGGAGTGTGTGAGCTGTTGCTACCTCTGTTTTGTGTTCGATTCTTCAGGTCTCTCCTTACATCGACACTTCCCTTAGCATAGTAATTGTCACAAGTAGGTCTAAGGTTCAGTCTTCTACATGCACACTTACATTGTCACAAATGTCATATCAGCTGGTGGTAATAATTAGGAGTTTTTGAGCCTACAAAAATACATAGTAACTGTGACTTTCATTCCTTTATGTATAAATAGTTAAATTTCTTATCTATTGCTCTGAGGCATAAAAAATAAAATAATAATAATAAAAAAAACAACACTAGACAGAGGTGTTCATTTGTCTTTAATTACTATTTGACATAGATGATTCATTTTGCTCTCTTTTGGGGATCCTAGTATTTCAGAGGATTGGACAGAAAATAAATAAGAATTTTTTTTTTTTTAATTTAAAAATATTACCATGGAGATCAGTAGATGGCATAATGGCTGCATTCTTGGACTCCCATGTAGTCGACCACGGTTTGAGTGCTGATCTGATGGCTTAAATTTATGCCAGGCGCATGTGTGTGAGTGCCCAAAATCTCAAGAAGAGAATGGAGGAGAAGGAATTGCAGTGTGACCATCCCCCCACAGGATGATTTTCTCTCACTTTCTGTCTCTCTGTCTCTCTTTGTCTCTCTGGCGACCACATACACCATATAGCAAAAATCTCTATCTAAAAAACAAGTTATCATGAAGTTTTTCATGGCTTGTATCCATAATGATAGCAATAAAATTAGTTTTCAAACTAACAAAAGAGAGGGGCTGGCAGGTGGTGTGGTGGTTAAGGGTGCTAGACTACTAGACTCCCACATGCCCAAGCGTGGTTCAAGTCCCAGACCTGGTGACTTGCTTTCTCTCTCTTTCTCTCTCTGTCTTTATCTCTCTCTCTGTCTCTATCTCTCTCTGATCAAATTGGAAAATAATAATAATAAAATTATGTAATTATTTAAAAAATAACAAAACAGATAAGTATTTCAATGAACATTAGAACTCCTGAACCTATTAATTTTCTGTACTATTATTATTATTATAAAGCTTCAAGCTAAGTTTCCACATAACATTTAACTTTTCCTCAAAGAACTATTTCATTTAGTCCTACATTTTCCTCGATTCCCTCAGATACCTCATTGTAATATTTCAAACAAATTGTAAATTCATTTGTTTTTTCTTTTTTTGGAGAGGTTTTTGCTATAGGGAGCATGCGCTCGCCAGAAAGACAGGGAGAGACAGAGAGACAGAAAGCGAGAAATCACCCCCCCGGGGGGGATGGCCACACCATAATCCCTTCTCCTTTCTCTTCTCAGGATCTGGGGCACGCACGCACATGCGCCCGATGTGAGTCTAATCCATCATGTCTGGGACTCGAACCATGATCAACCACATGGGAGTCCAGTGACATAGCCATTACGCTAAATGCTGGTCCCAAATTCATTTTTATAATCCTAGCATTTAAAGTCTTCAGGAGACAGTGAAAATACCCACAAGACCACAAATTCTGATAGAGTCAAAACTTTCTTCAATATTTCACTTACGATAAAACTCAAGTCTAGAATCTATAGTTGCCACCCGGTCCCTAGGAGTCTATAGTACATTGTGATCACATTCACTGAGCACCTATAATGCATGGGCCTAGTTTTAACTTCCACACATGTCAAAGTATGTCATTCAAAGAATGTGGATTTCTTCTGAGTGTTGAGGCAAATTTTTGCTTCTTTTAGGAATTAAAAAAAATTTTGTTTTGTTTCGTTTAGCTTTTTGCCATAGGGTATGTACGCTCACTAAAGAGGGAGAGACAGAGAGAAGGGAAGTGGAAATCATCCTCTGAGGGGGAACCACACTACGGTCCCCTCCCTTCCATTCTTCTCTCAGGATTTTGGGCACACATGCATATGCACCCAATATGATCTTCAAGTTGCCAGGTCTGAGACTTGAACCAAGGTCATCCATGTGGGAGTCCAGTGTCCCAAGCACTATCCACCTTCTGGCCCCTCAGCAAACTTTAATTGCAAAATATGAGCTATTTATGAATGTGGTGGTGCCTGTCCTATGGCAAAATATGAACTATTTAATACTCAGAAGTCTATTACCAGAATACAGCATTGAGCACTTTATGTTGATATATGTGTGTCTGTAATATAATTTAGTAAATAAAAGTTTGTTTTTAAAATATTGAATGTGTAATTTTAAGTGTTCACCTTCTAGAGTCAGCTCAATAGTAGCAATTAAGCCCTATGCATAGAGAACCAGATCCCACATGATTGACCGAGGTCTGACTCCTGGCACCGGTGGCTTAAAAAAAATGCAAAAAGTGTGACCACCAGTTGGTGGAATGATTACATCACTGGACTCTCATGTAGTTGACCGCAGTTCAAGTCCAGAACCTGGCGACTTAAAACTCATGCTGGGCATGTGTGTGTGCGCATGCCCAAAATCCCGAGAGGAGACTGGAGGAGAAAGGCAGCATGATCATCCCTCCCGGGGGATGATTTCTCGCTTTCTATTTTTCTGTATGTCTGTCTTTCTGGTGAGTGCACATAGCCTATAGCAAAAATCTCTCTCTAAATAAAAAAGGAAAAAGGGAGAAATAAAAAAGAATGCAAAATATATATATATGCCTCAAATCCTCATGGGATAGAAAAATGGAAGAGAAAGGATTGTAACCTGACAATGTCTCAGTAGAAGTTATTTCCTTTTATATCTCTCTGGCAAGTGCACACAGTCTCTGGTAATTTTATATATATATATATATATATATACACATACACACACACACACATATTTACTATATGGTTAATATATATCATATATATCAATATAATAACTATATAATGGATACTATATTAAATGTTCAATGTTCATATGTTTTCATTTTCAACTTTAAGATTTATTTAGCATGGCTTTAAAAACAGTCATTCAATAAGAATATTTAGTGGGCAGGGTCAATTCATATGCAGCAATGATAGGTCAATTCATTGGCAGCAAAGCTTCTAAACTTTTCTTTTTTACTTTACTTTTCTCAATGATTACTCTATTTTTTATTCCTAATTTATAATTTGGTTGAAGTTTAAAATAGTGACAAGAACACAGCTAAATTTAAGCAGAATGCATTGAAGGAATTACAAAAGGGGATGCAATTATATATTGATCTCCATTAATCAAATCATGTATAGCATATACTAAGGAAATTTGTATCAGTTATATTAAACAATAAATAAGATAAATGATTTGTTGTTTTTAATCATTGTTGGGATCTTCTCTTAAATAAGCTATAATTTTATTCTTCATAGTGCCACCATTTACTTTACATATGGACTACATTCTGGTCCACACCTGGATTCTTCCAAAAGTTTTCTGTCATATTTAAAGGACCAGGATGGGGTCCAGGTAAACCAAGACTTGGACTGAGTGAAGAAATCCCAGAGGTAAGTAAAGTTCAAGAAGTTGAAGATGGTGAAGATTAGTCTCACATCATCAGGTCTACAGTGAGCCTGCGCATAGGCTGCCCCACCGCAAATCTGTGAAAAGACATTTCCCTACTCAGAGGCAGCCATGTTGGTACATAAGTTAATAGGCAGACACCACCTAGGGGCCAATAAGAAGGGTGCGTTCTCCCAGGAGCACATGCCTCTTACCAGGGCCCCTCTTTTGTTCTGTTTGTGAAGCAGAACAACAGAGACTGTTTTTCAGATCCACTCAAAGTCCTAACTAAGAGCCTTTGTTCAGGGAGTAACTTCACAAATGCATGCAGCTCAGACAGAATTTTAGATATCAGAGATGGGAGGAGCCTTAGGAGTCATTCAGTCTAAACTTAATTTCACACATGAAAAACTGAGATTCCCAGAACAGAAGGTCTAAAGCCACCTCAAGATGATGCGTTTTTTGAGTCACACCCTAAATAAAGTAGAGTGAAAGCATTATCTAAGAAATTCTACATTTTTTTTTAAATGTAGTGATTTAAAACGCTGGAGGCCACATGAAAAATTTGGTTTCAAATTGAAATTCCTTTTCTAAAGATGAAAGAGTAATTTTTTTCACTCACTCAGGATATGTGTTATGATTACTTATCAAATAAAGGTAACAAATAATCACAGAAACAACAGAAAGAATAAACTATTGACAATTTCAAGAGCGGTAATATAACTTTAAAAGTTAGCCTGTGATATTTCAAGGACATAACATTTAATGTTTTGTTCAAATATTATTCTTTTAGAAAAATTCTGATTTAAATCAAGATGTTTTTACATCCAGTTACCAAAGCTGTTGAGACTAAATTTCCCAGACTCTTTTATTTAGGTTCACAATTGGCTATGTAAAAGTTATATTGAAATAGGTGAAAATAATTTTTTTTCTTTTTTTTTTAGGTTTTGCCATAGGATACATGCATTTTCCAGAGAGAGAAGAGAGAGAAAGTGAGAAATTGCCTCTCCAGAGGGGATAACCACACTGCAATACCTTCTCCTCCAGTCTCCTCTCAGGATTTTGGGCACACAAGCACAGACACCTGGCATGGTTTTCAAGCCACTGGGTCTGGGACTTGAGTTATGGTCAACCATATGGGAGTCCAGTTTCTTAACCACAATATCATCTGCTGGTCCCAATAATTTGATTATTTCAACTCCAAAAAAGCCTAGTTAGCTATGATACATTTATATTATTTTTTAAAGCACACAACTCAAAGTGAATATTTTTAAGTTATATGGGTGCTGAAAATGGCTTTATAAAAACAGAATTGTAACATTTTGGGGATACTCAGTGGCTTAGAAATGCTTTGTTTTGTTCTCCCCAATAAAATAGCACATTTGCCTTTGAGGCTTGATTACCAACATAACCCAGAGTCACCTTAGTTATTTTTCGTTTGCTTTACTGTCATCCAGGATTTTGCACATATTTTCAGATAAGGAAGATCCACCCTACTCATTTTGGCTGCCTTTATCATTAGCCCCTGTTGCTGTGTTACATTGCCCTTCAAGGCAGTCCAAATCATAACTGTAATGTTTCTGTAATAAACAACAACTCTTCCAATTTACAGAGATTTTTCTATCCTGAAATACAAATGTTAGAGTCTTTGGGGGGAAAATAACAAATATGTCTCTGTCTTTTTACATATATTTTCATTTAGTGTGAATTTCAATATAGAAAATGAGCCCCAGAACAATATAAAGAACTATATAAAGAAAAGGCTTCTTTCTTCTCTACCCAGGTCACAGGGAAAGAAAAGGTTCCCTTCTCATCATCTGCATCTCAGCTATTGAAGATATATACAGTGGTACAGTTTGCTCTGATGCTAGCATTTTATGAAGACACCTTTGCATACACAGCTGTAAGTAATGCTCATTTTAAGTACAGTCTGAGAAAGTTACATGGCACTTTGAAAAAGAAAATAAGCTCAGCATGGTATGGCTATGCTCTGTACTTTTCTGTACTCATCTGCTTTAATTTCAGCAATAGCTCATGTTTAATCAGGTGAATTAAGTCTGGATATTTCTTCTGGACTGATTAAATCAAAATTCTCTGTGTAGAATGTATACGGAGTAATATGCTATGAATCTAAGTGATAGGGGCCAGCAGGTGGCATGCTGGTTAAGGTGGTGGATTTCCACATGGCAGACCATGGTTTGAGTCCCAGACTGGTTGCTTGCTTTCTCACTTTACCTTTACCTCACTATCTCTCTCTGGTAAGTGCATGTGCCCTCTAGCAAATTTAAAAATAAGAATAATAATAAGAGATAAAGTTAAATGAATAATTCTATAAATTGTGTAAGTGATAAATAAAAAATTTATTTGCTATAGGGTGAGGCAGTGGCACACCAATAAAGCAACTGGACCTACAGGCATAAAGTTCTAGATTTGAGTCCCAGAACCTTCCATAGGTATACACACACCTATGATGTGCCCAGGCTGAGGCTAGGGGCTCATTAACATGTGAAGATTCTTTAAGGGGTGCTTGTCTCTCTGTCTCTCTATGTCTCTGTTTCTCTCTGCTCCTGTCTCTCATGGAAGAAATAAATTAATAAGCTTTAAAAATAAATTATTTGCTATTCATAAGTTTTACAACAATTAGAACACAAATGCTTCAGAAGCCAGAATTAAATGCTTGGGAAAGTACTTTCCATCAATTTCAACATCGCGGCCTTGATTTAAAGACTACCCTGATATGGGCTGTTCAGTGATGTACCAGGAAAGGGAGATGCTCTGTGAGGCAGATCCAAGGAGGGGTTGCTGGTTCAGATCCAGAGACCACTCTGAGTCCTCTCAGGCACATGCATGCTCATGATTCCGACTGGAGGCTGCGGCTGGATCGCATCAACATTCTGTCAGGGGTGCCATGTCTCTGCCTCTCTGTCTCTGTCTCGCTTACTCATGGATTAAAGAAATAAACTTCTTTGCAAAAGAATATCCTTGTAGAATGTCTTCTGGGAGTTTTCAATGGAAGGTTTACTTCCTTTATTTTTGTCCTAAGACATTTACAACATTTGATTTGTCTGATGTAAACAAAATAGCACTAGAAAAGAGTTTCGTCCAGGCATTACCACTTCAGGAGTCATTTTGGTCATCATAGAATACTCATGCTGCTTATATTTGGGAGAAAACAAACACAGTATGGGGTATGTAAAAAATCACTATAAACTATAAAAAGGATAAAAACCAGATGTTTTAAAACATTTATTTTGTTTTTATAGATTTATTTATATTATATTCTTCCTGAGAATTTACTATAGCTAAAGAAGGTACATGAAAGGTAGCAAGGTAATTAAATTGGCAATAGATGAAATAGAAAATAAAATCACAGGCAAGTAAAAAATTACTTTTTTTACCTTGTTATGAAGGTAATATACAGCTCATAAAATAACGTCATTGAATCAAGAAAGTCAAAGGGATACACAGTATCTCTATATGAATAGTGGTTACCTTTTAAAAACAAAGGGAGTTTCTATTTCCAGCATCAGGTGATATAGATACACCTCATTTATTTATTTGTTTATTTTAAGATATACATAACACCTACAATTGCTAGGTGAAATACACACACATACATACGTAAATTCTTAGCATGTACGAAAGAGCTGGCAAAAATTGAAGGCCACCTAATATCCTGAAGATGTTGAGGAAATACGAATACTATGGAACTGAGTACTTGTACTGAAAGCTGTCCTAGGACCTCTACAATCACTGATAATCAAGATCTTAAGGGATCAGAAACAAATCAAAGAACCTGTAGAGGTGCAAGTTAGATGAAGAACCTCAAATAAAATGACTGAAACCAAAAAGAAAAAAAAATACAGGGAAAGGAAGGTAAACAAAGAAAAATAAAAAGCATAAAAGGAAACTTGTCCATCTTGCACTTGGCTCTAAGGAGGCATACAAAAACAAGTAATTAGAATATTACTTTTTTATTTCAAACCAGCCCTCACTCAGATTTAAGTCTAGAATTCATGGAACAATGAATCTGATAAAAACAAGCTAACAATTTAAAGTGTCTCAGATTAGACCTCAGGTATCTAAATGAAGCATATTCAAATCATGCCTAGAGCCATCACAGAAACTCAAGATTCAAAGTATTCACATGGATAAAGTCCCACTGATGATAAACTCAAAGTTAAAAATCACAAAAACAGACCCAGCCTTTGTGTCACAATCAGTAGCACTGCAGAGCTGGAAGCCACAGGTTGAATACTGGTGGAGTCTCCCGCCTAGTCAGTCTGTCCACATACAACTTTTAAAAATCAAAGAAAAAAGAAAAACCTACAGGAAAATATATAATAGGCTTTTCTGATTGCAGCAGAAAACAAAGATTTAGATTCTAGTTTCCATTTTGTAACATGAAAATGGGAAGTATAATATGATGGATGTGACTAGAAATATCCTTAGGCTATAATGGTTGGCATATACTTGTTTATGGTTTGTTCTTTCTTATATGTGCTGCAGCTAATGATGAAAGCACTTCTACATTGTATCCGTTTTCTCTGTCTTTAGCTTGCCAAAGACAAATGCAAACCCAAGAACACTTTCAAGATGCAAAGCTTTCATAATAGTGGCATTAAATATATCACGGCTAGTAGAGCCAATCAAACTCCCCAAATGGTTAGACATAATAGTTATTTAACCTAAGTCATTATTGTTCTAGTCTCCTACTGTATTATTAAAAGAAATATCTGAGATTGGAAGAATTATAATAAGTAGAGATTTACTTGATTCATGATCCTACTGGCTGAAAAGTACCAAGAGGTGACGCTGGCATCAGGCTAGCCACATCAGAACATGCCTGGAGGAAGTAGGGAGGATGATGGTTATGCACTGAGAGAAACAGTGGGGGCAGCCATCTTCCTTTAAAACAACTCACTCTTGCAAGAATTAACCCCTTTCATGAGAGATAGCACTCACTGTGTCTTGAGAGACATCATTAATCCATTCACAAAAGCAATGCTCACATGATCCAATCCCCACCCACTAGACCTTACCTCCTAAAGGTTTTGCCAGCACTGGGGGGACAAATTCTAAAACACAAAGCTTTGGGAGATAAACCATTATCCAAATCATAGTATTCAAAATCATCTCTTCAAATATTACCTAATTAACCCACCACTCATTCGTTTCAATGCATTATTTTATGCTTACACAAATTATAACTAAAATGTTAAATGCATTAATAGAGTTGTTAGTTCATATGCATTCAAATATCTGACTCCTGATATGCTGTCCAATGTTTAGTACAGTTTGAATTATTGACTTTTTTTAAGCTGTGCTAAATCAAATCTCTAAATAAATGGTACCAATGCTTAAGAACAAAAATAGAGGGCCAGCTGCTGGTGCCACAAGTAAGGCAACTGGGTCCCACATAGTCACCTTAGCAGTCAAAGTCCCAGATTCAGTGGACCTGAAGACAATGCTAGGAATGTGTATTCATGTATGTCAAAACCCCGAAAGGAAAATGGAGGAGAAAGGATTACAGCATTGCCATTTCCCTTGTGGGGTGCTTTCTCATGCAGCACAAGGTACCCATTGTGATTTTCAAGCTGCTGGGTCCAGGACTCAAACCAAGCCATTGGCCATTTAAGCTCCAACACCTTACCCTCCACACCACCTGTTGGCCCATCTTGATTTTTGTAACAGAGGCCATTAACATTAAGTTCACCAAGAGATTTGAATTTCTGGGCATGTGTGAGTACTTCCTGGGTAAAAATGTAGCCAGACATTGTACATATTGAAAAGTTGTGACTTATGGTTTTCACAAGATTTTTCTACTGTCATAAAAAACTATATGAGAAATGTATGTAGATATATTGACAAAGAGAAATATCCAGCGTTGAAACCCTTGTCAAACTGAGATTAGAGTTGGAGACAGCTTCGTTCCTGACACAGATTCATTTTGAAAGGTGCATTTGCTTATTTCCCACATGTGCTTTTCTTTGCTAAAAACATGCTGTGAGACTAGGAAGAAAGGTTGCTTATTTGCAAAATTCTATAGTGCCTTTCTAGTCCCAGCGATGTCTACGAGCATACGGAGACTTTAAAATCCAACAGCAATATTTTTTTCCAGATCCACTGTAGCCAATAATCACATAGAAGGGCTGTGGCTGACTTGTAATTGGGGGCCCTGCTGTGGTCCCAGAGCCTTTTCTGTTTATGCATATACTAGACTAGATAAATACTTACTTGTTTTATGTGTGTAAATTCTGTATAAATAATGGGAGTCAAAAAAAGCAACTGGCTGGCCACCACAAAGGTATAAAAGGCACATTCCTTCCTTACGGAAACTTGTGAAGCATACATTTAAATATATAGTATTTAGGTTAGTGATGTGACCCACAGACTTTTCTGTTGATTTTGGTTTAGTAATGCTTGGAAACTCAATTCCTCATCTGCCAGGGTCTACTTCATGGGGTGATATCATGAATACATGTTCGAAATAAAAATATCGACTGCACTAGCATGTTCTCCAAACAAAAATTCAAAAGGCAGTGCTATCTTTAAAATAATAGACACACACAGAACAGTTTAAACATTTACTAAGGTCTTAGAGTGCTTACTGTAGATTACTGCATATATGTTTTAACACAGATTACTCCGTTGATATATTTTAAGTTAACGAAGCATCTGAGATTATCCAATATAAATTTGTAAACATTTTTGTGGTTTTAAATTCTCCCGGATGCTGTGCTCTATAAAACATTATGGATATTATAAATGTTTAGCTAATGTTTTCACGTTGATTTTTTAAATAGATTTTCTTTAAAAATTCAAAATATTTAGTTCTGCTTTCATGACAAAGGGTGTTAACCTGCACAAATTAGATCTAGCCTCAAGTCGATATCCAGTTTA